CTCATGACATTTTATAGCATGAATTAAAAGTATATTGTTCTAAGAAATATTTCATAACTGACCAAGAAATAAAGCCAAATTCCTATAAAGAAATTATGCTCAGTCTAAAGATAAAATACAGACGTGAACAATGTAGATACTTTGGAGAACATTCACATCCTTCATTTACGCAGGCAGAAGTAATACGTTCTCCACATGATACATTCACTAGTACATAGTCAACAACATCAACAACTCATCAAAATGTATTCAATTCCGACACCCTAAATTTTCGAACTACCTGTTTTCGATAAGCAACTTATTTTACGGATAATATTTATGCTCAGTACACAATACAGTGAACGAATTATTTTACTAACCTCATAATTTGAATCCAATGTACAAAATAATGTTCCATTTTTACTACATTTACTATAGGGCTCACAATTCCTCGGGCTTCTTTGCCTTCGAATCTTTTCTTTCGTTAACATATCAGGCTAGTTAGGTAAAAGAAAAAAACTGGAATAAGTTTGGGTGAAGTAAATACTACTCACTACCTATTAGTATAGATTTGTAGCGAGTGTAGAATTCCATAGTTTACATCACGGAATGACTATAATTAGACAGTCTGCAAAAGCAAAGAAGCACTAGACAGCTTTTTTGTTCTAGTATGGGAATCGTCGGCAATGTGTCGCTAACCCCACGGGGGAATGAACCTTTAGTCGACACTTAGATCCCAAGTTTCTAAACTACCTTATGCAATTTATTGCTATTATTCTACTAATCTCGAATTGTATCTTCCATACCTGATCTTTTATACAACCCCTAATGTTGTTAGTACATGTTTTACTCTGGTATGTTATGACAATTTCATTTCGCTGCGTTAGTAGGGTATGGTAGCTTAAACGAATACACACATGTGGCAGGTTCTACGTTGCATATGACTGAGTGACTGAAATAGTAACAAACGAATGTTCAGTGTCTCTAGGTTTTCTAAGATTATAAATTTATAAGGGGTTGTTATGTCAGCTAAATAAACTGCTTGATTTGCATGTTTAAGATTTCATTTTTATAGTCAGTAATTTCTAGTTTTCTCCTAATTGCTATAATTATGAAAATAAGTGGTAATATAATATTAACTTTTTCCACATGTTCGCTAGTGTGATGAGTCGGAAATTTTGTACTATATTTTTTAACTCCGTCTACAATTGTAAATATATACTTTAAAGACTACCGTTGTCCATTCTGAAGTCAGTCTGCAAATGAAAAGCAGATTCAAAGTTGTGAAATTTTGTGTCTTTTCATATTAAAAAAAACAATATCAACCCCATATAACCATATGAAAAATCAATCTATTTACATAATTTCTCGTTTGTCTTATCTTGTATATACTATCTGGTAAGCATTCATTACTATCTCTATCCCATTTACTTGAATTATCACAAGGACATTCATATTCATGTGTAAATATACCATAATTTTTACATTCATTAAATGAACAGTCTTCTTGTATAACACATGGGTATGGACAAAAAACACGATCATTTATAATCGGTTCTAAATTTTCTTGATATCGACTATAACATGCAGTTAAACATAGTGCATTTAAAAAATTCAAATAAGTTACATTATTTATAGTTCTTATTGTTTCATTTCTTTGAGTTTGTTCAAATGTTTCAATAATAACTCGATCATTGTTATTTTCTATTGGAATTAAATATTCAATAAATAGTTGTCTTATATAATTCCAACAATCATCAAACATTTGAATTGTTTTATTAAAACATTTATGAGAATGTATAGTTTTTAATTTGTGCAATTTATTGATATTCGTTAAATTTTCAATACTGAACCATTTCAATTTACCAAATAATGGTAGTGTACTATTTAAAATAATGTGTGTAAATCCTGTTTCTAACATTGAATCTGTACAAAACAAATTAGATTTTTGTAAATATTCAACGGTATAATTGATATGAATTAGATAGAAAATGAATAAATTTAGTATATATATGTAATTCATTGTGCAAAACATACATATCACTTCATGGAAGTAATATGAATTCTTACACATTTAGTAATGACGAACGAATTTGAAATAATCAATAAGTATACTGAAGAATGATTTTTAAGTAATAGGATTGGATCTATTATCGTTTAGTATAAAATTCTTAATCATATTATTATTGTTATTAAAATGAATTATGAAGAACTATAATACAAACCGACTTGACTACTGATACATTTATCAACTCAGATTATATGGTGGTTGGAGGTAGTCAACAGTAAACCCTGGACCTGGGTTTCGTACTACTTGGCACACGTCAGCAAGGTGTATCTGTAATCTTGAGGGAACTGATGCTCCCTGGCGGATTCGCATTTGATCTGCACTAATAAGGACTAGACAAGCATGACATTGATCACCACCCAGTGATCAATCAATTGTGATTACATCTCAGTCCTACAGGAGGTCAGTCGCGGCTCGGATAGCTCAGTGGTAACTTCTCTGACTGTGAAGCTGGGTGACACGAGATCGAATCTGCCAGGGAGCACCAGTTCCCTCAAGATTACCGGTACACCTTGCTGATGAGTGCCAAGTAGCACGAAACCTGGGTCCAGGGTTTCCTGTTGACTACCTCCAACCACCATCTAAAACTCAATATATAGTGCCCGCAGTGTCGAGTCACCTAGACTGGTGGCCACATTGCAACATGATCGATAGCATTCGATCTGCACTAATAAGGACTAGACAAGGATGACATTGATCACCACCCAGTGATCAATCAATTGTGATTACATTTATCAACTTTATATCAAATGGCCTCAGTTATAAATAAAGAGTAGTAATATTGAGAGTACAATCATTATAAACAGTATGAAAATGTATTACAGAAGCTTAAAACCAATCGTAATTGGATGAAAACAAAGTAGAATAATCATTCAGAAACAATTATTAGTATTCTAACATTTAATAATTCATACGCCGAATACAGGTTTACATACTCGAATTTCCATTGCACAATATGCATAAGTTTAGTGATAGTATTTAGACCAAATAAGGTGGAATACAATTCGAACACGTTATCTACCAATTGAAGGTTAAGCAATCTATGTATTGAGTTGATTTTCATTTGACATAAACAAGTGCCAGACTTAGTGACCAAGATAAATCCCCAGAATCGTTGTTTGGTAAAATAACAACTAATCATTTCTCATTATTAAAAATTACAGATGACAACTGTGTAAAAGGAATTTGCAAATAACAACTACTATAGAGAAACTGTATATTTATCTCTACATCTACATCCACTCATAGTATTTGACAGTGTAACTGCCCTGTAGACATATTCATTTGGAGAATACAGCCAGATAAATATGTTGTAGAATTTCTAAAACATACACTAGGGTAGTTGGCAGCCTGGGTGGTAGATACCTGACGGTAACTCAACTTACGGATTACAAAGTCGTTTGTTGTCTACCATTCGACCCATATCGCCAGTTACGTATATATCTATATCAACGTTCATCACATTAAAAATTCCTTGTATACTGAAAAATTTAAACTGTTCTCACAACCTCAGCCGATGAAATAATCACAGATTTTGCCTAAAATTTTATATACTCGAAAGAACAAAACCATTTACCAGAGACCTATTCTCTTTATTTTAAACTGGGATTTTCGTTTTTTATTAAGTAATTTCTAAAATACAGAGTACCCTATTTAAATTTATGTACAATAACCAACCTTTAAACTTAGTTATCGTACTCCTTGAATCGTATTCGCAGTCATTACTTATATGGATAGCTTAAAATCCATAAAAAGTTTTAATTAATTCATTACTAAATAATTGGTACTTATTTTATTATTGGTTGTAAAACCTAAACAACATTAGTGCAGATACATAATGATGAGTAAATAGAAAATTCATTGATAAATTAATCTTTTTCCTAATCTCTAAATATGGAAATATTCACTTCACTTCATTAATTGGCTTATTTGTGAAAACCAATTTAACCTGATAATAGTGTAGTGAACGAGAATACAAGCGGAGACAATCAAATGTATTTGAATACAAAATAACAAAACATCCCAGTAAAATAGGAGGACCATACAGTAAATAATTCATTTGCGAAATGACAATCATTCGTCTCAGACTTCATTGCTCTTTCGTTTCCACACCAGTCCTTCTTTGTTGTCGTTCTCTTTTCTTCGATCTTCTTAACTTTCTGCCTCCAGGCATTTCACTTTCCATTGATGGTATATACTACTTATATCTGTCAACAACAGTAGCACACACCACAATAGTAATTATCACGAATCGACAGTAACTACAGAAAGTCGTTGAAAGCACGTGCAGTTACAGATCAGAATGCAAAAACTGGCCTGATGGTTTCCTCTATTTATTGATTTTCCAGAAGATATTAGTTCCTGTTCAAAATTATCCTTAAACTTAATTATTCAGTACAGAGTGGATAAGTCAAACACTTTGCTTACAATTTGCAATAGTTAATGAGATCGTAACAATTGAAACTAAATGAAGCTGACTTTCGAGAACGAGAGCTTATTTTTCTGGTAATTTCTTGAACAATACAACTACTAGTCTACAGAAATATCTTTCCAAAGTATAAGCAAACAAGAAAGTTAATTGTGAAACTCAATTCTGCATACAAACATTTTCAATCTGTTTTAATTGACTACGATGGGTAAGTGATAAATTCAGTGCTTCTTGAAGTGATCATCACCACATATAATAACACAATAAATCCCCCTTTTTATACACTAAACAAGAATATTTCTATTGACCAATATATTCTAAGATCAAACAGAAATTTAAGATAAAGAAACAATTATTTCATTATCACAGATAATTTACGAGATTCACAAAACAATTAGTAAAGTACAAATATTAAAAAATATTGATCAAAGTTATTGTTCTACGCACTAAGTCCCACCAATAACCATTTGTACATGAAGAACAATCAATATTCCGAAATGACTTTAGCTAATGTCATTTAACGTACTCTAATTCTCTCACGTACCCACTGATTTGTATCAATAGATAAAACATCTTACATTGTAACCATATGTGTAACATGTATGAAGTTAATTAGTTCATCAATAAAGAATAATTATAAATACTTACCCTATTCGTACAAGTCTAGTTTATGGGTGAATGGATTGTGGTGTGTGCTGCTGATGTTGACAGATATAAGTAGTATGTATCATCAATGGAATACCTGGCGGCAGTAGGTTGAGAAGATCGAAGAGAAGAGAACGAGAACAAAGAATAATTGGTACGAAAATAAAGGAACATTAAAGTCTGAGACAATTGATGGACATTTTTCAAATGAATTATTTACTGTATGGTTCTCAGATTTTACTAAGATGTTCTGTTATTTTGTATTCAAATACATTCGATTGTCTCCGCTTGTATTCTCGTTCAAGACAGATTAAGTGAGGGGAAGGATATGACGTGAATGGGCAGAAGAAGCAAGTACAAATTTTTATGATTACAGTAGACAGAATGATGAAATCGATGGTAACAACCGAAAATCAATTATAAAAGTGATCATAATAATGGTGATAATAACACTAATAATGACAATAATAGTTGAAGAGGATATACGAAAACAAAATACTAAATTGATAAGAGGTCAAACATTTTATCGAACAGTGCTAAAATAACAAGACCAGTTGTAATAACCACAAATCAGGAATGAAAATGACTAAAATGAACAATAAATGTGTTACTGTGATCAAATGAAAGTGAGGTTAGGCAAACTAAGCAGATTTAAGAAATTGCTGACAGTTTAAAATATCTTTAAAGATGATAGAGGAAAAATAGAAGAGAAGGTTATCAGCAAAACGGTCACCTCGAGTGTCAAGTAAACCACAAGTTCTTTTTGTACACACAAATTCATGTTGAGACACCTGACAACAGCGCCTTCTGTATAAGTAAGACTCTGAAATAGTCCTGTATATTTATCACATGGAAGGTAGTATCAGGATTTACTGGATGATCAGTGTCCAATTTATGTCTTCCTATGACACCACCAGGTAGTTTGGAGCAATTCACGACCAAATTATTCGGCGTATATCCCGAGGTTCTTTTAGATAAGTCTCTATGATATTCCAAAGTACGTACTATTGCAAGTACAGCATGACTGCATGTCAACGGTCTCTTCTGGTGGGAAATCAGTGATTAAAGACTCCACATTAAAAGAAGCTATAAGTATTTATAACTATATTTTAGTGGTGAACTAGATGACTTCATACACATATAGCTACAATGTAAAACATTTTATCTATTGATACAAACCAGTGCGTACATGAGAGAATTAGAGCACACGACATGGAATGAACTCGATTTATCCTATAATGGTAATTGTTGTTGCTGCATAGAAATTATTGTGAATTATCGTTTTTATTCACATAGATTGATTATGATATAAGTGGATTACACAATTCGAAAATGGAATGATGAAACGTGTCCATATAGTGAGGAAAGTTGAGGATCTGTATTATAAAGGAAGCAATAATAAATGTTCAACGTAAGATGCGAAACGAAGTTAATAACAAGTGATTAAATAACAGTAACAAAATATTAAGCTAATATTTTCTTATCTATTAAAAACAATCACTTCTCTGATTTATCCACATTAATTCGATCTAATTCTGTTGACCTCCTTTTTTAGCATTGTAATACATTATACTCAATGATTGTTTCCCACGCGTGAACTGAACATTCTAAGATCCAATTTCTTCTTCGAATATTTTTAAACTTTAATTGTTTATCAGTATGGGGGTTGTGGAGATTGTTAAGTTTTTGGTTGAGATCATGAATTAATTGATGTTAGACCACCGTTGGAAACCCGGCCGTCCAGTGCTTACAGGTTTCCAACGGTGGTCTAACATCAATTAATTCATGATCTCAATCAAAAATTTAATTGTTTAAGTTGATTAAAGGATATGAAGTCTATTGATATTTTGATATTCAACTTACTACTGACATATCAGTCATTTCAAAGGGTTCCTTGATCATGTTATTAAACAGCAGACACTTTAATGAAAAGTACGATTGATCTCGGTGAATTTTTAAGACAACAGACTCGAACAATGTGTTATCTTTTAAAAGAATTATAAAAATGTCAGAACCAACACCCCCACCATCATAACCAACTTAATAGGAAAATGACACTTTGGATTTTATCTAGTAAATCAAGATTTCCTTTAGTTTTTAAGCAGATATTCAACTATTTAAAAACTGCTGCGAATGATTCCTGGCGTAAGTAAGATTATTCTACCCATCTTACTGAGGGACATATACATTGATTTGTAAGTCACAGTATTTCGAGTTTTCTTACAATATAAAACTTCTTGTGGCCATTGTTGAACATCGCAAAGTTAGCACAACTTTTGAGGAAGGTGGCAGAACTTGGGCTTGTGACAAAAGTTACTGGTAGTCGGAACCGACAAACAAAATAAGGCGCGAGATAAATGTGTATGGATTTGAATTACTACATCACAGTCAAAACACGTAGTCCAGCTTACCACATTTTAGCTTAATAGTGTATTTCACTCTCGACATCAGTGCTGAGCAAAATAAAATAGTATATAACTTAACGAATTCTTGAAACAATTCGGAAATCAGAAAAGAAAGTTTGAAAACAATGGGTAAGTGACCACTGAGTAGTTTAATCTAATTGGCGATCTTTCTTTAAAGTAGTAACATATGAGTATCGGAAAATTAATGTGTAATCACTTAAAGATAGAAAATAAAGTCGATGTGCTTATGATCGATTTTTGGGAAACAGTAGCCAACACACATACAAGCATATATTCGAAGTGCCCCCAAATGCCCTGTTATGGCCGAGAGCGCGGTGGGTCCGCCCTCCCTCTCGAAAAACTTTCACACGGCCACGCGTATACAGCCTCTGCCGAGGAATTCCTACTCACTGCCTTCTCGTGGCGGGGGTGTTGTTTACAAAAATGAGAGGACGAAAAGAGAATGTCCGGCGCTTTAACCGGATCCCAAACCAATGGTGCACATAGGCTCCAGTATCCTGCGGGAAGAAATGGCGAATGAACCAATCGTTGGTCACCGGCTACCGTGGGACTGCATCTCCTCACTGCCTTGTGGGTTAGACCTTTAGGTCAAAGGCTCAGGGTGTGGCCTCCTAAGAAAACGACTTGCTTCGGTTTGGGCACCCGGACAAAATCTCAGCACGCACACAAAAACATGGTAAACTGTCTACTTATGAAAAATATTCCTCTCGCTCCAAATAGCAATCAAGTGACTCGCATTATTATTGATATTATTATTATTATTTACTACGTCATTATTCACCCTCTTTTATTCCCACTCTGTTTATATTTATTTTTTCGACTTATACAGCAGCTCGTCTATGGTGGAAATTCGACTGTATCTAAACGTTCTCGAGTCACTGTCCGGTTGGAAATCGCATGTTACTACCGTATATGAGTACTGAAGCAGTTTTTCTGAAACCACGTGCACCATTCAAACTGGCTGCCTTCAACGTTCGCACACTCATGCAGGTTGGACAACAGATAGGGCTGGCTATGCCTTTAGAAAGTCTTAACATCGATGTTTGCTGTCTATCCGAGACCCGTATTCAAGACTCTGGCGAAGTACTACAAAATCGATCTCCATCTGTCGCTTCGAAAAGCTCGTTTAACGTGCGCTTATCCGGGGACCCTGTGGCATCTTCGTCTGATCTTGCTGGCGTTGGTGTCGCACTAAGCGCTAGAGCTGAGGCAGCACTAATCGATTGGATCCACATTAACAGTCGGTTATGTGCTGTTAGATTAGAGAGTTCCATCAAATTGAGAAGAAATCGGCGTGAGAAACGATGTCTTTTCGTCATCTCCGCCTATGCCCCGACAGATCGCAGCCCGGATGCAATCAAGGATGAGTGTCTAGTCACAGAAGAGAGTCGTTTAGGTGGCCAATGGGGACTCGTTGGTCGCAGGACAGATAACGGGGACCGTCTACTGCAACTGTGCACAGGCCACAACCTGTTTCTGGCTAGCACTAACTTTCGGCACAGGCATCGCCGATGCGCCACCTGGCGTCCTCCCTCTGCATCTCAAGCCTGGACTCAAATTGATCACATCGCGATCAACTATCGCTGGCGTGGTTGTGTACAAGACTGCCGCTCCTTTTGGAGTACCTATCTGGACTCTGTTCATGTCTTGGTCTGCGCCAATCTTACCTTACTTTTCAGGGGACAACGAAGTGACCGCCATCAAAGGGTTGATGTTATCAAGCTGGTTGCAACTTCTGTTGCTAGTAAGTATCAAACAGGGATAGCTTCTAGGCTAGCTACCAATCCACCGAAAAGTATAGATGAGCATTGGTTGCAATTGCATGACGCCATGAAAATGGCGGGAACAGTCAGTTGTGGGTTCGCGAAACGTCCCGCTTATAAGAACTGGGTTTCTTCTGACTTCTTACAACTCATTGAAGCCCGTCAGTCAACTCCGGGTGACCGTGAGTTTGACCACAAACGAAGGATGTTACGTAATGAAATTGGGCAAAGCTTGCGTAAGGACCGAGAAGCCTGGTGGTCGGAGCGTGCTAATGAGCTGGAAGCAGCAGCTGCATCTGGTAACTACCGGAAGCTCTTCCAACTCATCCGAGCCACTGGCAGCAAGAAGTCTGGTGTGAGCGAAATAATCTGTGAGGAGGACGGGATGCCAATCACTAATATCCATCGACGTCTTGGACGATGGGCAGAATTTTTCGAAGGGCAGTTCAACTGGCTTGCTGCTCCGGCAACATCGGTCAGAATGTCCTGCCCTCCATGGCTGGTGACGACTGATCCACCAAATGAGGCAGGAGTCCGCAAGTAACTCCAACTCTTGAAGCGTTACAAATCACCTGGCCCAGATGACTTGCCTCCGGCTCTTTTTAAAGATAGTGGTGACTAACTGACTAGGGAATTGACGACGTTGTTTACAAAGGTTTGGGAGCTAGAGAGTGTAACAACGTCATGGAATGGGTCGATAGTTGTCCTTATCTTTGGAAAGGGTTCACGCCGTTCCTGCGAATAAGTCTACTTCTGATTGCGTCCAAGCTATTGGCTTCCGTCATACTTCGTAGGTTGTTCAAAACCCGAGAAAGATTGACTCGTGAGGAGCAGGTTGGGTTTCATTGAGGTCGTCAGTCAGTTAGTAACAAAGTAGAACTTCGTACGTACGTACATCAGTTCGAGTTGCCACACCACATTAGTACAGAGATGCAATGGTCGATTTCGTCACACACCGAGCCATAAGGGCTGACGAAAATCCCAAAATAAGTGAAGTGATCGACACGCTCAATTACTTCACTCCCTATCACTAGTTCGGGTGTCGATGCAACCCAATCCTGAAGCAACATTTTGCGTTTCGAGGGTTAGAATCGCATCCCGAACATGCTTGCATTGTTGCTTAGAGTGGTCAGAAGACTCTGCATTTTGTCAGCGTCTTCACCAAATAGAACCATGTCATTGGCATATTCTAAGTCAACAAGTGAATCTCCCAGTAGAAGTTAAACTCCTGGAAATTTAGATAAGGGAAGTATTATCTCTAAAAGCATGTCAGCAACAAAGTTAAACAAGAATGGAGAGAATGGGCAGCCCTCCGCCAAATGTTAGAACACCCCCATACTTATCAAAGGCCAACAATCGTAGTGCTTCTGGACATTAGGGCTGCCTTCGATTTGTTGGATAGGACTGTTCTCTGGGATTGTCTATTAAAGAAGGGTTTGCCTGAGAAATTTATTAACATCTCAAAAGCCCTATATAAAAACTCCTCAGGCAGAGAGAGGGCATACAAACACCTTTCTCCATTGTTCAATTCGAGCAGTCAGGTTAGGCAGGGTTGCCCAATCTCACCATTCCTCTTCAACTTTGCCATCGACGACATTCTGGAAACAGCTCTGATGGATGTAAGTAATGGCGGTGTGGATCTGTTGCCTAGAGAAAGACTTCTCGACCTTGAGTATGCGGATGATATTGTCTTATTGTGCGATAATGCCCAAGGCATGCAATCCGCAATTAATCAGTTGGCGATCAGTGTCCGTAGGTACGGTATGTGCTTTGCACCTTCGAAGTGCAAAGTACTTCTACAAGACTGGCAGGATTCTAATCCTGTACTCACTCTGGATGGTGAGCAGATAGAAGTAGTCGACAATTTTGTGTATCTAGGTCGCTGCATAAGTGCCGGTGGTGGCGTGAGTGATGAGATCAATGCACGTATAGTGAAAGCCAGAGCGGCTTATGCCAATCTGGGCCATCTTTGGCGCCTTCGTGATGTCAGTCTGGCTGTGAAAGGTCGGATCTACAACGCGTCAGTGGGAGCAGATCTGGTCTATGCTTGTGAAACCTGACCTCTCCGAGTTGAGGACGTTAGACGACTTTCTGTGTTCGATCATCGTTGTCTCCGAAGGATTGCTGACATCCAATGGCAACACCATATTAGTGATTCAGAGGTTCGGCATTGTATGTTCGGGCACAGAGATGATAATTCAATTGGTGGCACTATCTTGAAACATCGACTTCGGTGGCTTGAACATGTTCTACGAATGTTGTCCCAGAGAATTCTACGTCGTGCATTATTTTCCGACTCTGGGACTAGTTGGAAAAAGTGGAGAGGTGGTCAGTGTGTGAAACAAAGCCGTACAGGACTGGTTTCTGTTGGTCTTTCACAACTCCCTGGCTAAGTTCCGAGAGATAATGCAACACAGTAGCTAGAGACGTTATCAGATATGGCTCAGAATAGAAGCCAGTGGCGATCCTGCTGTAGCCTTCTTTTACTTTCTTCATAAAATACATGGTTGTGTCTTCCTTAATTGAAGGGTTTCTTTGATTGTACCTTTCCGTTCCATTATTACCACTATTAATATTACACCACATTACACCAATCTCTTCCTTATTGTTCTTTATTTTTTACCCTCCTTACCTTTTTTCCTTTTTCCTTCTCTTTAAATTCTCATTGTTTTGTGTGGCGCATATATATTTGGCGCACTCTTGTACCAATATGTATGTGTTCAAATAAATAAATAAATAAATAATATATTCGAAGTAGCCATACATATGTTAAAAATCGTATATCTACCTCTAATCTTATACACAACAGGGTGTTTCCCTACATATTGGGACAAATGTCAAAATATTTCTACATACTTAATAAAAAGATACAGTATTTACCTTCCAAGAGGTAGAGCCTTAACGGTATTATGATAAGCATCGAAAAACATTTTAACTTCTCTTGATGGCCAGTTCAGTGCTCGCATTGGTTCAATTAACTAAAAATTGAAAGTATATACCACTATTTAAGACAAGAAATAACTGCTTGTGTAGAATAATAATAATAATAATAATAATAATAATAATAATAGTCATGCTAACAATCAGATATTCGATTCAGAAAATTCAATTTTTAGTAGTAACTAAAGAGAACAATATAAGGAAGACAGAACTATGAAACCGTGTGAAACGGTTAGAATTTGAATGAAATTAACCTTACAACCAGCAGTAGGAAAACCTGCAGGGGGATAGAGTGATGTACTTAAGTTTTTTGAAACTACGCTGCAGCATTTCCCAAAAGGCGATAATACTAGAGAAACTTTGAAGTGATCAAACTGCTCATCAACCATTTCATAGGGTTGTGTGGCACAACACGTTTCGTACGAGAAGTGCTACTACTATCAGACCTTTTCAGTACATCATTTATTATTGGTAAAAATGTAATGTATATATGATGCAACTACTACAGAACATCAATAATTCGAAGATTTAGAATTTAAAAATACCTTTTCAATAATGTCCAAGAAAAAGTTTCGCATTTCTCGAGCGTGGCTTAGACCACAGGCTAAATTTATCACTGCTTTGGAGATAGGCTAAAAATATAGGAAAGGATAAAAAACAAGATTGTTAATGCTTTGTTAGGATTGAAATATGATTTTTATAGGGCAAGGGAGGGAGTTATCGCTCATCTCTTAAGAGATCTATTAATAAAACCACTGTTAATTTGAATATCTGAACAAATTAATAAAATCGCACAAATTAGAGTAGTCACAGTGTAGAAATTTTTGTAAGAGATATTTACTTATACTAAGTGGAACAGCGGATTTTAACAGACATTGTATGAGACTACTATCAAACTACACTGACAAGGAAACATGAGGTGAGTAATAAAAGTGCAGAACTTTATTTGCAATAGCATGGATAAGAAATCGTTGAATGAACCTGGCCTTCGCGAGTTGAGGATGTTAGACGACTCTTTGTGCTTGACCATCGTTATCTCTGAAGGATTGCTGACATCCAGTGGCAACACCATATTAGTAATACAGAGGTTCGGCATTGTATGTTCGGGCACAGAGATGATAATTCAATTGGTGGAACTATCTTGAAACATCGACTTCGGTGGCTTGAACATGTTCTACGAATGTTGTCCCAGAGAATTCTACGTCGTGCATTATTTTCCGACTCTGGGACTAGTTGGAAAAAGTGGAGAGGTGGTCAGTGTGTGAAACAAAGCCGTACAGGACTGGTTTCTGTTGGTCCTTCACAACTCCCTGGTTGGAGTCCTAGAGATTGTGCAACACAGTGACTAGAGACGTTATTAGATATTTCCTAGAATATGAGCTAGTGGAGACCCTGCTGTAACTTTATTTTACTTTCTTCATAAAAAATGGACGTAACTTCTCTAAATGAAAGAATCCTTTGTGGTTGTACTTTTGCGAACTGAACTGTTTCTTCCATTATTATATACTCCACTCTCAGACATTAATTTCTGTTCGTTATTGTTCGCTTTTTTCTTATACGTACCTTACATTTTTTTATCTCGTCACATCCTCATTGTTATTGTGTGGCGCATATGTATCTGGTACCCCTTTGTACCAATATTTATTCCTTTAACTAAATAAATAAAACATCTGTTAATAATCAACAGTGAAAAATTTTTGGGCGGGCGGAGAGACAGAAGTTAATTTATAGAAAAACCTGTAGCTTACATATTGTTTACATTCATTACTAGTCTGAATTACAAAATGTTAACCTTATTATGAAAAAATATATTGCAAAAATCAGAGAAAATTGTCTAGTTAGATATATTCATTAACACTAACAGAAGATCTTTTTGTTTGGCAGCTTGCACTGTAAAGAAATACTCTGACATGAACTTACTTTGAAGTTGGAGTCTAAATTTGTTAAAATGACTTTTGCTTGAATTTCAGAGAGATTGCGAATAACAAGTCTGTAAAGATAATAAAAACATGGATTGTATCGATATACTGATGAAAAACAAGGTTTATTAGTTGTTTTTGCTTAACTTAGTCATAGAATCAACTTTATACAGAAAGAAATATTTTGAAAAACTGTTATCCGTCAGTTTTGGTCAATGTTACGAATCTCCTAATGCGTAACTTACCAATCACCACGGCACCTCCTTGATGCTAAATTCCTTAAACTGATTAATGATCAAAATTTTGGGGATATCTGAATGACCAAGTCTAACGGATTCTTAAAACACTGAAGACGTGGTTAAACACTGAAGTGCATCTTATCAGCTGCGAAAATACCAATATTTATATAGTGGCTATAACGAAAATGTCAAGAAAAATCAGTGGATTTCAGTAGCATTTACTGAATTGATTGATGATTAGAAACGGGACACGACGAGCAGCGAAAGCTTAAACTTAAACGTTTTCCAGCCGATCACTGTTCACTATTAATCTGAAAGATAAATTATCGCATCTGACCAACTCAATGTGCATTTACCAATTTACCTGCTCTTGTGGAGCTAGGTATAAAGGTCGTTCGATGCGTATTTTATCCAAAAGAATTCAAGAACATTGTCCGGAGTGGCTAAAAAGAGGAGGCAACGGCTCAATAAGAAGTTCAATAATCGAACACCTTGTGAACATCGGTCATTCAATCAAGACAGACTCTGCGTTCAAAGTCATCTACAAGGTAAGTAGAAGCCTTCCTAAGACAATTAGACTGCATCTTCTTTGGATTGCCGAGGCAATATCCATACATTCTGAAAAACCAGAACTATGTGTACAAAAGAGACTGGTACAACCCCTTCTTCTACCATGGTCTTAATGTATTAACAATTTTTTTCTATTCCTTCATACTCTTGTTCCCTTACAGCCACCTGCTTCACCTTCCATCTTCCCTTCAAATCTTCTACCCCCAACCGGTTTGTTTTTATTTCCACGATCATTCCGATCATATTTCATCTCTGTTTCAACTTTTTATTTTATCATGTTGAGCCATCCTTACCCAATGAACACTTCAGCCATTAACTATCAAACGATTATTAAACTTTCCTTGTTTAAAAAAATCTTTTTAATACCTTTGTTTATTTAAACTCACTGTCACCATGTATAACAGAAGTTTATTATCAGTATTATTATCACCCTGTAAAAATAAGTATATATATTTGCGATTGTACAGCTTTGAAAATGAATTCGCCGAAAAGAGAACTCTTCGCTGAACTAATATTTCTTTCTTATTTAATGTCATAATGGGTGTATTCCGTTTATTAAACGTAGATTGACAAGTCTACACAACGATCGTGAGCATTGGTGGCCAGTAAAAGCAAAACCGATGGAAAAGGCTTTGGCGATAAGCAACAATAGATAAATTTTTAGACTCATCAGAAAATAGGCATTACATGTTCGGAAGTTAGTGGGACGACTTCTGAAAAAGATTACCATGATAAACGGTCTGAATAGTTAGTTGGTTGGATTTGGCGAAAACGAAATTTGTTATAAAAACATACGTTGGATTTCGTGCTCGGATGTAGAGTCATTAAGAACTAAACATAGGTTTATAATGTCCTATATTTTCGTTAAACGTCTAACAACATCAAACTCTCGAAACATATCTTGAAATGTTGATAAATAATATCTTTTAATTTGAACTTGGTAAAGATTATTCAGAGTACTTTCGATAAAGTCAAGTATATTCAAATGACATGAAAACAAATCGAATATGCGTTATGTCTTATTATTAAACATCCGAATCATGAAAAATAAACTCACAGTTTATGCTTATCTAAATATTCTTTTTTCTCAATCAGTGGTTTACATTCTTTAAGATCATGAAAAAATTGAAGGTCCAAATCAATACTGACAACCGTTTCACCTTTCTGATCTTTAATAAAAAAAGAAGTCAAGAACACTTATATATATATATATATATATATATATATATATATATATATTGCTGAAAGGAATAAGAAATTACACACCAAATATACATTTTCTTCAACCATCTAAATATTACATAAAAGTCATCATAGTAATAGGATCCCGGACCGTAGCTGCTACCTTGACGTGGTGGTCAGGCTTGCCTGTCGTGATGACCCAACCAAACTATATTGGCTGGGACATATATTCCTGTAAGTTCTACCATGCCAGGCAGGTCGATTGGAGAACAGTAAGACTAAAAGCAGCAAATCAAGGTCGGAGGGCGAAGTCGTACTGTTGACTGTAGAGGGGTGTGACAGCAATAAGGTGTTGCCCTCGGGCAACCAGCATCTGCAGCGATTCTACTTTCTCATAAGAAAGGACAGGGTTAGAAAAGGTCGACCCTAAAAATGTCGCACCTTACCTTGCCTCACGGATTCCCGTCTCCGGTGGTGAGGCCTTCTAAAGAACGAAGCTGACACGTTAAAAACTTCCCACAGAAAAGCCGTGCGCCACCGGCCTCATGCAGTTATCCCTTGAGTTCTGCGGTCACGCTCCCAGGTCGTTGAGACTAACACTAATCCAACTTTATTTTCAGGTTCCTCAAGAAATACCCTTCTACAGCGTGGGCAGCCGGGAAGTTAAATTAGTCCTCAAACCCGTAACAGGACACGAGACCAAGTTGGTCACATTCAAATCCTTTCTACACCTAATAACTCTCTTATCTCCCCGACTTACCCTTCTCACGTTCCTTTATCAACTCTCAATGCTAGTGAGAACGATTCGAGTACGCGGAACGTCATTCCTGGTATCCTGAAAACATGCTCGAAACTACATGTAGGAACTTTTAATGTCCGAACACTGCCAAATAGGCCAACAGGCCTCCTTAGCTAAGACTTAGGAATCTCGCGCCATCAATGTGTGCTGCGTCTCCGAAACGCCCATACAGGATCCGAGTAGTGTAATTCATTTGACCTCACCATATCAAAATAAAGAACAATCTCGATTCACGCTTCGTGTATCTGGAAGCCTTGTGTTGCTTCTCGTGGTCCCGCTGGTGTAGGTATAGTATTGAGACCCAGGGCAGAACTATCACTCTTAGACTGGATCCCATAAGACATTCATTTGTGCACTGGCAGACTAAACGGAACAGTAAGGACTCGGAAAGATAGGGACGCCCGTCGTTGTCTCTTCGTCGTCTCTGCCTACTCTCCCGCTGACTGCAGCCCAGATGATGTGAAGGATGAGTTCTACAAGAAGCTTCCCGATCTTCTCCGAAAAGCTAGGCGTTCTGATGTACTAATAGTGGCTGGTGACTTTAATGCTCAAGCAGGTGAACTCCGCCTGAAGTCCCTCGGGAGGCTACTGCCGGTCCCAAGCCCGGATAAAGGAGGACGGTTGGGCATGGAGTTAGCGTCCCCATCCCGTAGAAAACTAATTCGCTAAAAAACGCTAACCAGAAAAAATTATTCAAACCTTTTAAACTCTGCCCTGGTAGTCAGAAGGTCTTCATTTAGAAGAATTATGACGCCTCATGATGAAAGCCGAATGCCTTCGGAAGATACGAGGCCGATGCCCCTTCTGACAACCAGAGCGACTATTTATTTAGGTACATGGAATGTTCGTACAATGTGGGATACCGGGAGAGCCTTCCAAATCGCTGCAGAAATGAGGAGATATAAGCTGGAAGTACTTGGAATCAGTGAAAAACATTGGACACAAGTTGGACAACAACGACTAACTACTCCGGCCATGAAGAAGAAAATGCCCCACATACACAAGGAGTTGCATGGCCATCAGACAAATCAAGAGTGGCAAAGCAGCAGGACCGGACAACATCCCAGCAGAGGCACTGAAAGCAGACGTAGCGGCAACTGCAAGGATACTCCACATTCTCTTCAATAAGATTTGGGATGAGGAACAAGTACCAACAAACTGGAAAGAAGGACTCCTGATCAAAATACCGAAGAAAGGCGATCTCAGCAACTGTGATAACTACAGGAGCATCACTCTTCTCTTAATACCGGGAAAGGTATTCAACAGAGTATTGTTAAACAGGATGAAGGACTGCGTAGACGCCCAACTTCGTGACCAACAGGCAGGATTCCGTAAGGATAGATCGTGTACAGACCAAATCGCAACTCTACGGATCATTGTGGAACAATCAATTGAATGGAATTCATCACTCTACATCAACTTCATCGACTACGAAAAGGCATTTGATAGCGTGGACAGAACAACACTATGGAAACTTCTTCGACACTACGGCGTGCCTCAGAAGATAGTCAATATCATACAGAATTCATATGATGGATTACACTGCAAAATCGAGCATGGAGGACAGTTGACAAAGTCGTTCGAAGTAAAGACTGGTGTCAGGCAAGGTTGCTTACTCTCACCCTTTCTCTTTCTCCTGGTGATCGACTGGATCATGAAGACATCAACATCTGAAGGGAAACACGGGATACAATGGACATCTAGGATGCAGTTGGACGATCTAGACTTCGCAGATGATCTGGCCCTTCTATCTCAAACGCAACAACAAATGCAGGAGGAGACGAACAGTGTAGCAGCAGCCTCAGCAGCAGTAGGTCTCAATATACACAAAGGGAAAAGCAAGATTCACCGATACAACACAGCATGCACCAATCCAATCACAATTGACGGAGAAGATTTGGAAGATGTAAAAACCTTTACGTATTTGGGCAGCATCATTGATGAACAGGGTGGATCTGATGCAGATGTGAGGGCGCGGATCGGCAAAGCAAGAGCAGCATATTTACAACTGAGGAACATCTGGAACTCAAAGCAACTATCAACCAACACCAAGGTCAGGATTTTCAATACAAATGTCAAGACAGTTCTACTGTACGGGGCAGAAACCTGGAGAACTACGAAAGCCATCATCCAGAAAATACAGGTGTTTATTAACAGTTGTCTACGCAAAATACTTCAGATCCGTTGGCTGGACACTATTAGCAACAACGTATTGTGGGAGAGAACAAACCAGATCCCAGCGGAGGAAGAAATCAGGAAGAAGCGCTGGAAATGGATAGGACACATACTGAGGAAAGCACCCAAATGCGTCACAAGACAGCCCTCACATGGAATTCTCAAGGCCGAAGGAAAAGAGGAAGACCAAAGAACACATTACGCCGGTAAATGGAGACAGACATGAGAAAAATGAACAAGAACTGGATGGAACTAGAAAAGAAGGCCCAGGACAGAGTGGGTTGGAGAATGTTGGTCGGCGGCCTATGCTCCATTGGGAGTAACAGGCGTAAGTAAGTAAGTATATAAAAGGTGAACTAAGCGAAAGGCAAAGACACCTAGGTGGGTCTTATTCTGTCGTGGCTCAAAGAACAGATAATGGCGACTGTCTGTTGCAGATGTGCTCACATAACCGCCTGTTCCTTGCAAATACTAACTTTAAGCATAAGGAAAAACGTCTTTTGATATGGCGATCCCCGAATTCATCCCAACGTTGAACCCAAATAGATCACATCGCTATCAACCACTGATGGAAGGGCTCGATAGAAGATTGTCGCTCGTTCTGGAGCACATGCTTAGATTCAGATCGTGCTCTAGTACGAGCGTGCATTTGTCTGCGTCTTACTGGACGTAGGAAAGACACTGCACGGAAACGTCTTAGGGTCCTACTTAATGATAGTCAAGCTAAGAGCATATTTCAGGAACAACTAGAAAAACAGTTAGGCAGCCATGTATGTGATGCCCACCCCGATGCAGCGTGGAATGATATCCGAAAATTTGTGGAAACAGCATTCATATCTGCTAGTACGGTAAACCACAAAGTTAGGGAGAAGCACTGGATCTCAGCAGCGTCTACCGCACTGATAGATGCTCGAAAACTCATTCCATCTGGCTGTGAACATAACGAAGAGTGGAGTCAGCTTAAGCGCAGGCTGACAAGAAGCCTATGCAATCATCGTGGGTAGCAAAAGCAATAGAGATGGAAAAGACAGCGGCAACAGCAGAAAAGTATTCAGACTTGTAAAGGAAACCGGTGTTAAGAATCCAACTGTTAGTGAAACTATCTCACAAATAGATAGACACATTATTCACTCTCAAAACACTTTAGAGATCAGTTCAACCGGCCTTCAGCCACACAATCCCACGATCTCCAGTCTACCTGAATGGCAACTTGATGTAAGTCCTTCTACTCTTTACGAAGCTGGAAAATCTGAAATGTTGGGGAACATCAGGCCCTGACAGGTTTATCCCTGATTTTTAAGGATAGCGGTCCAGTACTAGCAGTGAGATTGACTGAGCTTTTAGGCAGAATCTGGGGACTGGACGTAATCCCATCTGACTGGTCTTAATCACTGATTGTGCCAGTCTATAAGAAAGGACAAAAGTCCTCTTGTGACAATCACAGAGGAATCACTTTGACTAATATAGTGTCTACAATATTAGCTTCAACAATACATCGACGCCCAGCTAAAGCTAGTGAAGAACAGACTAGAGAAAACCAGGATGGTTTTTGACCTGGACATGGTTGTATAGATCAGATAGTCACACTACGTCAGGTCCTAGTACATAGACATACGTCCAGACGCCCCACAATGGTAGTATTTCTCGATCTAAAGGCGGCATTCGACTCTGTTGATCGTGAGGTTCTATGGCAGTGTTTATCACCGGAAGGAGTACCAAAGAAGTACATTAACCTTATAAAGGCTCTCTACTCAAACACAACTAACCGAGTGAGAGCTTATGGTGAACTGTCAGCAGAATTGATTACCTTAAGTGGTGTTCGTCAAGGCTGCCCACTCTCTCCATTCTTGTTTAACTTTGTTGCTGACATGCTTTTAGAGATAATACTTCCCTTATCTAAATTTCCAGGAGTTTAACTTCTACTGGGAGATTCACTTGTTGACTTAGAATATGCCAATGACATGGTTCTATTTGGTGAAGACGCTGACGAAATGCAGAGTCTTCTGACCACTCTAAGCAACAATGCAAGCATGTTCGGGATGCGATTCTCTCCCTCGAAATGCAAAATGTTGCTTCAGGATTGGGTTACATCGACACCCGAACTAGTGATAAGGAGTGAAGTAATTGAGCGTGTCGACCACTTCACTTATCTTGGAAGTCTCATCAGCCCTTGTGGTCTGGTGTGTGACGAAATCTCAGCACGGATACAGAAGGCTCGACTAGCTTTTACAAACTTGCGTCATTTATGGAATCCTTCACATACCTGGGAAGCATCATCGATGAACAAGGAGGCTCAGATGCAGATGTAAAGACAAGAATTGGCAAAGCAAGGGTCGCATTCCAACAATTGAAGAACATATGGAACTCAAAACAACTTTCAACCAATATCAAAGTAAGAATCTTCAATACGAACGTCAAGGCAGTTCTACTGTATGGAGCTGAAACTTGGAGAACTACAACAACCACAATCAAGAAAGTACAAGTATTTATAAATAGCTGTCTTCGCAAGATACTCAACATCCATTGGCCGGATACCATCAGCAACAGCCTTCTGTGGGAGAGAACAAACCAACTTCCAGCTGAAGAAGAAATTAGGAAAAGACGATGGAAATGGATAGGACATACATTACGCAAATCGTCAAACTGCATCACGAGGCAAGCCCTAACTTGGAATCCTGAAGGGAAGTGAAAAAGAGGAAGGCCAAAGAACACATTGCGTCGGATAATAGAAGCAGATATGAAAACCATGAATTACAACTGGACGGAGCTAGAAAGGATTGCCCAGGACAGGGTTGGATGGAGAATGCTGGTGAGCGGCCTATGCTCCTTCACGAGGAGTAACAGGCGTAAGTAAGTAAGTAAGTAAGTAAGTAAGTAAGTAAGTAAGTAAGTAAGTAAGTAAGTAAGTAAGTAAGTAAGTAAGTAAGTAAGTAAGTAAGTAAGTAAGTAAGTAAGTAAGTAAGTAAGTAAGTAAGTAAGTAAGTAAGTAAGTAAGTAAGTAAGTAAGTAAGTAAGTAAGTAAGTAAGTAAGTAAGTAAGTAAGTAAGTAAGTAAGTAAGTAAGTAAGTAAGTAAGTAAGTAAGTAAGTAAGTAAGTAAGTAAGTAAGTAAGTAAGTAAGTAAGTAAGTAAGTAAGTAAGTAAGTAAGTAAGTAAGTAAGTAAGTAAGTAAGTAAGTAAGTAAGTAAGTAAGTAAGTAAGTAAGTAAGTAAGTAAGTAAGTAAGTAAGTAAGTAAGTAAGTAAGTAAGTAAGTAAGTAAGTAAGTAAGTAAGTAAGTAAGTAAGTAAGTAAGTAAGTAAGTAAGTAAGTAAGTAAGTAAGTAAGTAAGTAAGTAAGTAAGTAAGTAAGTAAGTAAGTAAGTAAGTAAGTAAGTAAGTAAGTAAGTAAGTAAGTAAGTAAGTAAGTAAGTAAGTAAGTAAGTAAGTAAGTAAGTAAGTAAGTAAGTAAGTAAGTAAGTAAGTAAGTAAGTAAGTAAGTAAGTAAGTAAGTAAGTAAGTAAGTAAGTAAGTAAGTAAGTAAGTAAGTAAGTAAGTAAGTAAGTAAGTAAGTAAGTAAGTAAGTAAGTAAGTAAGTAAGTAAGTAAGTAAGTAAGTAACTAAGTAAGTAAGTAAGTAAGTCATTTATGGCGTAGTTGAGATATCCATCTAACAACCAAAGGACTTATTTACTGTGCAGCAGCTCGTTCCGTCCTACTTTATGGCAGTGAAACATGGCCGGTAAGAGTAGAGGATATTCGTGGGTTACTAGTATTTGATTATAGGTGTCTTCGAAATATTGCTCGTATATCCTGGGACCATCGAGTAAGTAACGCAGTTGTTAGGAAATGAGTACTAGGTAAGGATGGCAAATCAATTGATGACGTAGTGAAACTTCGTCAGTTGAGATGGCTGGGAAATGTGTCGCGTATGTCCAACCACCGACTACCCCGACGTGGGATGTTTTATGGTGTAGGAGTAGGTTGAGAAAGCTGGGTGCGGACAGACCAAAACATGGCACAAAGCCATGAAGTCACTGACAAGTGGACTGATTCATGTTTGTAGGTGTAGACTACCTGGTTGGGGACCGCGAGATGATAACAACCGATGGTTAGAGACCTTGAATGACATGGCTCAAAATCGTTTGCAATGGTACAGGTGCATCCACTCTTTGTGTTCTCCCAAATTCTAACCTTCTGAAATCTTCATGTCCCTTTTTTCCTCTTTCCAAATTTATTTCACTGGATTATACTCCTTGAATAACATCTTCAAACCCTAATTTTTCTGATTACAGCTTATAATTTTACTACATCTAGCACTACGGGATTTGAATCGACCACTGCATCTCTGTACTAATGTGGTGTGGCAACTCGAACTGATGTACGTACGTACGAAGTTCTACGTTGTTACTGTCTGACTGTAATAGGATCAACAGAACTGTAAATGCAAATTATTTCTACTTAAGTGAGTCTGAGATTAAAAATTTTATATACCAAACTTTTGAAATAACACTCATAAATGACTAACTTAGGTAATGAAAATTTGCTGTTCTAAGCAAGTAATAACGATGTTTGAAACGATTCTGATAAACTGGACCGTCAGATAACGAGAAAGTGGAACAGTAACCCAATGGTTCAGGCGTTCAACTTTCAAGCAGCAGGTCGTGATACCTTTCCCAACTATTGAAATTTTGGCAACCTGGTAGCATAACTAACCCTCATATTTAGAATCCAGCTCATGGGCACGTATACGAATCTGTACCTGATTGATTAGTTAATTGTATTAATGCTGTACTTTACATCATATCCACAATAAATCATAAATTCCTTTTTTATCATACACTGAAAAAATGGACCGAATTACAACTTATCAAGAAAACAAAACAAATTTATACCTACCTTTACCACTAGTTGACCAATGAGTCATTAGCTGACCTGCACAGTATGCCAAGTTCTCAAAAGTAAGATATGAAAGACACTTCTTAGACGTCTCAAATCTAAGGAAATATATGTACAGAGAGATTATTATCTATTAGACTAAGTCAGTGAAATACGTCCTAAATAAGCATGTCGAATCGAAGAAACAGTGAAGACCAACGAAGGGACGAAATGCTTAGATTAGGCCGGAAAAACATGTGGATAAACAGTGCTAAAGGTTTAGTTAAGAGTAAAGAATGGCCTTTTCCGGGCCACTATAACCACTTTAAGCAGTATTATTCGAGGTGATCAACCACAAAGTTTTAGAGCCTTCAATATATAAACCACACAATATAAATTCATAAGCACAATTCTGACTAACTCAAATGATTTCGTACTATCTCCTTGCTAAGAAACTTAACAGAAACGAAATACGTGAAAAAGGAAACATCAGACTATAATCTCCAGCAAATGTGTGAACAAGAATGGAACATAATACAAAATTAACGAGCGCTTCCTTAGGAATATTACAGGTTTTTTTTCTTCTGCAGTGCTGGATAGAACTCACTGACTAATAAATATAATGCTTCACACATTTAAGCGGTAACAGATAGTCAGGTTTGATGAAATAAGGCAAATACAACATACTAATAACCCTTAACAGAACAAGGAATGCATATATTACCCGTCATATAACTTTATAACAGTTTTTACTGCTGTCATAATATGTTGTACTTGCAATTGAAGCACTGTTGCATCATATTTTATATCAAAACCAGTTAAGTTGTCAAAAGTTTTTGTGTAAATATACCTGTTACTTGCAATAAATATAACAGCGGCATAACACTCGGCAAGCCATTCTGGTAGAAGAAAACAATTCTTTATATTATCTGTTAGTGGACCAGGTAAATCTTCAGTCCGGCGAGCGACACACGACAAATTATCAAACTGCCTTTTACAACTCCTCAGTTGAAGTTCACATCTTTCTGCAATATCAGATAATTCCCGTCGGGATTTATTTGATAACCTTCTGCCAACAAATTCACGTAAAAAACTCTCATCAAGGGAATAGTATCTGTATATAATGATAAATCGAAGAAAATGAAAGATGTGGAATGGGTGATTGGTACAAAGTTTCACAATAATACATTGGATGAATTGTCACCAAATCACAACAATACTTAATATGGTGTGAACAAATAGCAGGAAGATTGAACTAAATTACACTGACAGTTGTCAAGGTGAATGATATTACGAGGTCCTTAGCCAAAAATCAATGCTAATTGCACATAAGCATACAAGGTGAATTAAGATAATTATATAATGATGGATATCCAGTCAAGCCTGAAAATGAAGGTCACAAAATAGCCAGTCAGTTTGCAACGTTGTCTACGGAATAGACGTTTTGACAAGTATTGAACAATCTTATAAGAATATACTTGGATTACGTAAGGAAATGATAGCGTGGAATCAAGTACAAAGTAACTCATATCAACTTTTTCTATCCTCATGAAAAGCACCTCAGTCATACGTTAAATCGTAGCTTTGAGCTTCTAGTTACTAAATCACAAGTCCAAAACTTACTGTACTTCAGTTCGCGCAAACAACTATTATCAGCTTTTACACAACAAGTGTGACTCAAAATAGTGCAAAACCTGTACTTGATTAATGAGTTTAATTATTATATTCATTTTTACAGTTGATTATGGTACGAAGATACCAAGTAAAACTATTACACTGAAATGTTAAAATATAGATTTATTTGACTCGACTCATAAAATGTAGCATCTAGTGAACTGAATTCAGATCTCAAACTATGATTACCTCGTACACTTGGATGAAATTATTGGTCTGGGAGTCGGACAGATAGGACAGTTTCACCATAGGTAACAAATTTCGACAAATCCCCAACCAGCTAAGACATTTATGGGAATTTAAAGATTGACAAGGAGCAAAACATTTGAAATCGAATTTGAAAATACTCAGCGCAATATCCATTTAGTTGTACAAATTCAACGTTGACATGGAACATCATTATTTTAAATGTATAAAATAAATCTGCCTTCCCATCTTACTAAGCACTCTAATTCCAAGACATAAGTTTGATCTCAACAACGGTTTTTGTTCATACCGTAATTATGAGACAGCCCACAAATGCCCTGTTACGGCCGAGTGTGGGGAGAGTCAGCTCTTCTTCTCCAAATGCTCTCACTTGGCCACACGTATACAGCCACTGTCAGGGAAGTCCAACCCACTGCCTTCATGTGGCGGGGGTGTTGTTTACAAAATTGGCAGGACGAAAAGCGAATGTCCGGCGCTTTGACCGGGTTGGTGGATACAGACGATCGATGCACTTAGGGGAGTTGGAAAACATTGATTTCAAACTAGTGATGCACATGAGCTCCAGTATCCTGAGGGGAAAAATAGCGTATGAACCAATTATTGATCACCGGCTACTATGGGACTGCAGCTTCTTATGTTGCTTCATTGTCTCGTGGATCAGACCTTTAGGTCGGAGGCTATGGCTGTGGTCTCCCAAGAAAACCACGTGCTTCAGTTTGGGCACCCAGGCAATATCACAACCCACACACAAACCAAGTGAATTGTATGGCGCATATGTATTCAGTGCCCTTTATACCAATACTTGTGTTTAAATAAATAATAAATAAAATAATTAGGAGACGTACTGCGTAGATTTTGTGGAAAACATTTGCGTACGAGAATCCCAGTTGTTTTTGAATACGGAGAATGGATAGGTATATCTGAATTATGTAGAAGTATTTATCTAACATTTCTGTGGTAGGTCGCCGAATTATTGGAAGGCAAAATATAATGACCAAATGCCTTGCGAAAGGCAAAGGATGATTAGTATTTACTTTACAGTTAATTCATGCCTACTTGCGTTACTGCTGTAAGCGCTGATAAATGGGCATACTGGTCGCATTGACTAAGGTCCGATATAGTGGACTGACGACCTACAAGATCCCAGTATGAACGTACAATGTTAACTCAGCGCGTTTTCCGGTCACTGGGTTTACTTGTGGGTATTTGTCCCATATCAGCTTTGATAAAACCAGCACGCGAAGAATGCCTAGATTTTAAGGTGAATAAATCAGCTAATATGTGATCTTCCGTATGGCAACTACTTTTAGAAATCTGAAACACTTTTCCTGAATGCAGCAAGGTAAAGGAAAAAGCAGGTGAATGGGGTCAACACGTACAAGTGAATCAATTGTTTGCGAGTTTCTGGTGTAAGCTGGTGGTATGCACAATCTTGCATGAAAGAATTCGGGTGTCGTAAACCTGATTCCAAAAGTGTGAATTGAGCAAAGTGGTCTCTGACATGTGCGGCCAACATATCGTTTGTCATACCATACTCCTCTACTGAAGGCGATTGGGCCATGATTGTGCAAGCCTGAGAAACTAAGAAATTGACGGAACAGTAAACAGGTTTATGGTTAGTTGGAGCGATAAATAAATTGGTCATTTTATATTGAAACTATCCTGGGTAATTAAAATAGAATTTGGTAGATAAAATACCTATCTAAAGAAATGATCGTGGTTTGCCAAGAATATTTCCATTGATACCAGATAGCAATAACTTCATGCAACAATAGCTGTAATTACTTAAAAGTTCCAGTAATACCATCAGTGTAACATGAAAAATAGATGCACAGATTGAATGGTTTATTAATCAGAAAAACTAATTCGTATCAACAAGAGAATTCAACAGTGTAAAATCAAGTCAACTGTGCACTTAAAGTTCCTTGGACGGTGACAAAAACAGTAAAAACTTAATTCATTCGAAGTCAGGCTTCATATTACTAAGTGGGATGTAGGTAACAAGTTTCATTGCCTAGAAATGCATGATCGAAATAATTGTCATGATACCGTAAAAGCCACACTATAGGTTTTGTTTTATAATTCGTGTATGTAGTGCTATCATAATAAAGCCTTGAGTGAATTTTTCGGTATGATAGACCGTATACGGCCAATTTATTTAAAGAATACAAACTTCAAATTTCTAAAGGCAAACTAGAAAGCTTGCAAATAGGAAATTGGTGTATTACTGTTTCCAAAACGGTCTAAAATTTAAGACAGAACAATCCCAAGCAAACAAGAAAGGGGAAAATGAAGAACTTGAGGGGAATAAAGATCGCATCCCCAAAGAAAGTTTGATGAATACAAGGAACTTTGTGCATTGTCGCCCTTAACGACTGTAATTGGGGAGATAGTAAGATGTTTTGCCTAAATGTTCCTCATGAGACGGTGACAAGAAATCCACAACCAACAATTTATTATTTCTGTCTGGTAGCTACTCTATCAAGTACATAGGGGGTGAGACTATAATTTATAAAAAACCTTTGAGCTACGTCAAAGTGACTTTTAGAAACTTTGCCAGTGTACTACGTTTGAAGAAGGGTTGTGGATTAGTGTGAGAAAGCAGAATCGAGATTTAATTAAAAGTTGAAGTTGGAGGTTATATTAAGTATTTTCATCATGAACTAATAACAATTATCACGCCAAGATGCATTACAGGCATATGGATCAATGAGTTTTGGGCCAAAAAATCCAAATCCCGCTATCTCAAACCTAATATATATAAGTTTCGCTGATTTACTCAAGAATTTGCCAAACTTAAGTGCATTCTGAGAATAAATGACGAGAAATAGTAGTTAGAGGAATATAAACGATTTGGCGGTATACCTACTAGTTCGTCCATGTACCCATAAGTAGAACATTTCCATATCAACAAAGCTTGGGCTGGTAACTGTGACGTCAACAAGGCTACAAGAAAGCATCACAGGCAGTGAGACCACAACTTATGGACGACCTTTGAGCGACGCTAGACTGACCTTGAGCAAGTTCACTTAACAACTAGTGCCAAATGTGGGTCATAAAACTATGTGAGGACGAAGGAATGCCTGGCCCTTGGGTTAAAGTTATTTAAGCTGCAGATGCATCGGATTGCTCAGGTTCACTCACGTTTGCGTATATTCGGAGACTTAAAAATCTACGCAACTCCACTGTTAACTAGAGTATGATAGAATAATGTTGTGGGGGTAAATAAATCCCCGAAATCAATAGCTCTGTAAGTATCCGACATTTGATGCTGACCACACTAGTCCTAATGGACTCACTACGCCGAAGACACTCGGTCACTCATCCGCACAAGATCAAGAGTGGGAACGCCGCGCTCTACTTCTCTTGCAAGCGCTAGCCAGTTAAGATCAATCATTTCTTCTTTTATTTACAACCCATCTGATAAGTCTTGCTAATTGAACACTATATTCGGTTCCTAAGCTATTCTCATAACACATAAGCTAGAACTACACAGTGACCTGAACACGAGAGAAAAGGCGCAAATCATGAGAGAAGCACTTTACTCCAAAGGTTCGTTTTTTTACTGAAAATGTAAGGTTTTTATAATACTTTAAGTGTCCTTGGGTTTCCGAAAATTCTGGAGTGCTACTAAACATAGTGGCAGTATATTAATCAGCCAATCAGAAATTCTACATGTAACTTTTCACTTTCTTAATGTTTCTGGCTAAACTTTTGGTGAACGCTGATTAGATGAAATGCTTCTTAGTGTTTCCTGATTCCGCTTGTCCTTTGTGAGAAGTTTTCTGGGTCACCCCAACAACTTCTTTCTTTTAAGTCTGTTATGTAAAACTTTTTCCACGGATCCACCTGAAACTTGGTTACCGTATTACTGTTGCAGCCCATCACTCTCGAAGGTTGTGCAGCTTTGCCCTTGTGTCTTTTATCTCTTTTACATTAGTGCTCATGAGGGTTTTTTCCAGATGAATCCACAAGCGAGTGAAACGGGAGTCGGTATTGTGGGATCAATGTTCTGCCGTTTATTTGAATTTGATTTATGTGTCTTAAACACGTTCCGACATTTCTCCGTACCAGGTATAGTACATTTCCGATCCGATATTCTATGACACCTGGTTCCCACTTTCTATTACCTTGATACGATTTGTCAAGTACCCTTTAACCCACCTGGAAGCCACGAGTGACCGTACGATACTCATTGATGGGTTTATTTGTCTTTCTGGGCTGCAACATGCTATTAAAGACTGTCCGGATTTTCTTCCTAAAATACACTCGTCTGGTGACTTTCCTTCCGGTATGAACACTCGTTCTGGGATACTCCTCCTCCCCGTTTGATCAGAGTTCTTTTGGATATGTCCTTCTAAACTTTCCACGTACCGACGTTGTTACAGATAGGGTTTATGGGGCGGTCTGTAAACCTCGACCTTTCTATCCAATCAAGCCTCAATAAGTCGGGTGATGGACGGTCTGTCAGAAATATTGCACCCTTCTTCATAGACTGTGACTGTGACTTAACAAGGAATTTCATCAGCAGTGTTTAGAATTCCCTCAGATTCACTCTGTGCTGATTGATGTGTTGATTATGTTCTCGGTCTCGCAATTCTTTCCTGCATTCTCCTGCTTATAAGCGTTATATGGAAGGCACTGTCTAACTGTAAGCGGGCACCATACCCATTAATTTTGAGATAACCATACTTTCTACGGTTATGGAAGTCGGCTTTGTGAAGTGCTACCGTTACTTTAGTTGTTTGTGGCTTCAATCTTTTAGAATACACTTTCCTTAACAGCTTTTCGTGTTTTGTAATGACTTTCTTTTTTCTTGAACGCGTAGTACAACGATGATTCTTAAACGGACAAAACCTTTTGAATTGCCAACAGTCACATAAACAGCATGGGGGATGATGTTTTGTTGCTGTCATTACGATAATTCTGAGTGCTGTAACCTCGCGAGACTTTCTTCTCGACTGCATTGAAATGAAGGAACCGGTTACCGTTCTCTACCATCGAGGCATCATACTTCAGATTCACTAACCTTTGGCATTTTGGTAGCTACTTCCTGCGGCGTCATGTTGGGGCAGTGTTCTAGCTTGCTTAGGATTCTCGCTCGGATGTCAGCATCTTCGAGTGAATGCAGGCTACAGATAAATACTAGGCAGTCATGGAAGACAATCTGAACCTCTCACATTCTCGGTTCACAATACCTGCATGTTTTACCCAGTCATCTTCTGATTCTTTCGTTATCTTCAAGCATCGGTAACGGATATTATATAGAGATGATTAATCTCCAAAGATTTTAGACAGGGTTTTAATTTTTTCATCAAAACTAAAGTCTCGTGGGTTCTTCGGAAGATTGAAGTTAATATACCGTTCATGTTCCATCCTCCCAAGTGTTCTTAAAATTATTCTGACTTTTGAAGCGTCATCGAGTCTGCAGAGATCAGATCTTGCCGAAGAAAATGCGGAGTATCTTTGCGGTTACTGCTAGGCTTGCGTTCAGTGCCTCCTATGCTTCGCTGCTCTTGATTCGCCTGATGGCCATGTTGGCTCACCAATTGTTGGTGGGCAAACATAGGTTTGTAGATTTCTCATCATAATCATAGTAGTTGACGAATCTTTGAGATTACAGAAAATTTAATCACCATTATATAATATTTAATTCAACGTCTTGCTCACCAGTGTAAATCATCAGCGTAGGTAATCTGTATCGATGATTATGAGCCCACTCAAATTCGACGGGAATGGCATGAACAATCAGCTAACGTTGAAGTCACCGTTCTGTTTGTGCCTAACGTAACTTACTCTTTCGTCGTATCCAAATACCATGTCTACTAGTGTATAGTAACAATTCATTGGCAGTAAACGTTGTCCGTTCGTTTTTCCTGAAATATGAAGAAACGGTTTTATCGGTAAACAATTTTAAAATACGTTTCGAACACTTAGAAACCAATTAACATTTCATTAGATTGTCCTTGTTGTGAGAACGCAGAACAGAAATGGTAGCCGTGCATATAAGGCCTAGGTTTCAACTTCCAATAAATTCTGGCCGCGTATTTCGGTAAGCTTCGTTCGACCTTGAAAAGCAATAGATATTTGCGTCCGTTTTATATGTCTTTGGAATTAAGTTTGTTGTCTTATTCATGTCTTTTTGAAACATGACATTTTATCTTCACTTCACTCATCTTTATGTATGGATGACGTATATATATGAGAGAGAATCATGGAGTTCGTTCTGTTCACGAATCGATCGGTTCGTGATTAGTTTGAATATATATACATTAATTACCTTTAAATATTTTATGCTTGATCAATAACAATCTCGATAATTATGGGTTAATTTATCATACTCGCTGCAGGTTTTAGTTTTCCTATTCATTGTTTTTGTTTACAACTACGTAGCTATAGCTATGTGAAGGTCATTTGACTTCGGGAGTTTCTCCAAAATACCCCAAAATTTCCCCAAACTTGGTAGCTCAGACTCGTATTTTTAAGCCTAGGCTCCTAACGTTGCGAGACCAGCCACTTTTTGAGTAAAGCTTATGACAGATTGCGTCACATAACCCAAAATGTACTTACATGTGATTCCTTTTCAGAATTTTCTAAACATTCTCATTTTGGCTTGTGTTGCACACACATTATTTATACTTTTTTAGCTAATGGGTTGCGTAATAACGTAGGGTTTTTCAGTTATAGTCAGCTTGTTTAGGGGGCTGGAATATTATTGGGTTGAAATTTTTAAGGTTTATATTCGAATGGTTTCTTGAGTTCTTAACGGGCGTAATTACTTCGTTCATTATTCATCCTAATCTGTACGTCGTTTTTTGAAGAGCCGTAAAACATCTGGCCGAGTGATGAATAACTTCTCATTTATGCTTGGGCTTGTGGTGGAGTTCCACACACTTCTGGTCTTCTTCTAACCATTGCTTGGGCTCTAGGAACTGTCCAACCGGTTAGAACAAAATCATAAAGTTTCAACTATTGACTTTAAGGGCGAGACTATAATTTATGGGTGCAAATTTCATTCACTCATTCAGCTTAATACCATTTTGTCATTATAGCTGATGTCAGCTCGTGATGAAAACAATAAATCTTATTCCCAACCTCAACGTTCAACAGTTAATCTTATTCTTAAGTCCTCATACTAATCTATAACCCTTAACTAACCATAATCAATAGATGAACGCTTTGAAGTCATTTCAGCACTGCACAAAGGTCGCCCATAAATTATAGCCCCACCACCAGTCACCGTGGAAGTATTTTAAACCGTAACAAAAATTTCATCTGTGTAACCTGGCAGTATGTAATTTATTTCTTAGAGTGCTAAGAAAGGGGGGATTTTATCATAATGTTTTCCATTTTAACCGTGATAATCTACATCCCGTTAATTCATCAATTTTACTTTAAAAAGTCCCTAAAAGTTCATTATCTAGGACTGATATAGATATGTTTGCATATAAATGCACTTTAACTCTTGTAGCAAAAATACAGAGTGTAGGATTTAGTTTTAAAGAACGTCTTATTGAAATGATGGACTGATTGTTCTTAAGACAAGAAGTTACATATTCTGGAAGACTTCCTTCAGCTAAGCTTATTATCTAATTTTTCCTTTTTTCTCAGGTGACTATAAGGTCGAATCAAGAACTTCCAATTTCCAGCTTATAAGTTCCATTTCTTATACTTCAGTCGCATATTTCAAGTGTACTTTGTCCATTATTTACGCTTATAAAGGCCTGAAGACCGTAGAATATGGCTAAAACATGAGGTATATGTAGTTATAAATTTTATCAAATATATATATATATATATATATATATATATATATATATATATACCATTTCATTTGACCTTGACCGCCATGCATCAGTTACTTTGTAACTTAGTATCTATGTGCTGTATTCACTCGTTCAGCGATATTTTGTGTAGAAAAGGATTAATGTGATGTAAAGTGAACATCAGTCTGCCTGTCTGGATGACTAATAGTTTTGTCTTGTTACATCA